TTTGTATTTTCAAGCGACCAAACAACTTTTCCTATCTTTATCGTGTAGTGAGAAGAGAATAAACACTTGGAACTGCAGTTAGGGAACACTTTTGGACATTATTTTGTTACCGTGCTTCATTTATCTTAAGGAGCTAGTGATTTGTCAACTGAAGGGGCTTTTGAAAAATGTATCAACTGTCCGGTGCCTGTAGTAGTAAAGGGAGAAACAGCGGTTATTGATAGAACAAACAATATCACTTACCCGATTTTACTTCCATCCATGTTCATTTTGATTACTTCGTGTGAATCATATTTACTTCCTGGGTACTGTGTCGCTGGGCGATAAACCAACCTAAGAATGGTAACATCTCTCATATCGACTGTGTATCATCTTTTCCNTTTCCAACCCCAAAGGGATTGCTTTAACAAACGGCCGAATAATCGACCGCTTCTTTAGTCGCATGATCAATATACTCACTTTTGAACGAGTAACACATGCGTGTCGCGGTACCACTGTCTTTGGGGTTTACTTATGACAGAGACATATAAAATGTACGGCACCAATACACAGACAAGCACATCAAATTTCACGGTACACCAGGTATGAGAGGCGGTGTAATGTCACGGTCTGCCACACCGAACACCAAAAACCAATGACTCGGGAATGCAACCTTACGCTCTTGCGTTTGTTATCTATTCCTTGAAGTTCTCTAAGGTATGGTCCCGCCCTCCTGATCCAGTATGGACTGTTTCTAAGGAACCATAACCTTTGCATGTCAGATTGTTTTGCCAAATTTTAACAGAAGAATTATTACTCAGTTGAATATGAAAGGTAATAAGAAAATTGTGAAAACGAATCCTTCTGAATTCATACAGAGAGGTAAAAAGAACGTGTCCATAAGTATGCATGTACTATAGCATTGTACCGGAAGTATTGGTAATCTACTTGTTTTAAAAAGATTTAACTTGGAACCAGATAAAAAGAGCCGGTGTAAAAACATAGCAAAACAAAAATTGCCAGCCATCTACAATTTGATTTCCGTTCCTCTGCGGGTTGTATTCGTCACCCAGCCCAGCAGAGTTTCACTACAAAATTTTTCGAAGTCAAAAAAGACTTTTCCAAGTGAGCTATTGTTCAAGAACGTACTAAAAGAAATCTGAAGATTGACGAAATGGATCTGCTTGAGTACAATCCTAACGCAAGCTGTTTGGGGGCTCTCTTTGTGGTACTTTTAAAAATGTGAATTCTCTTTCTCTCCTTTGCCAGTCGGCCAATAATTATTATTCAACCAAAATCATTTGATAGAAACCAATAAAATAATTCATTAGGTTCATCTAATAAGCATTACCTTAAATTTTTCACTGATAAATTTTTACAGAATTGACCTTCTTCGCTCCTCCGTTCTCGACTCACGGTGTTGAACAACCATTCATTTTATGCACCACCACCTCTAAGCCCCGTGAGTTCCACCTTACATTGAATGTTGGACAGCATACGTGAGGTTTTCGTTGTCTTTCGATAAACAAAATAAATTAGTGACATAAGGCTGCATTCTTTATCTTTTAATTGTGCAGTAATGCCTAGCACTTTGGATAACCTGTTTGGGGAAAGTTTTATTGAAAGCTTTGTCTTCTGAATTACGACCATGGTTAATTTCGCTCACCACGGCCTCTGCAGACCTCATTACAGCCTATTACTGTTAGTTTATTTGTATCTAATCATTTTCATACTTAGATAAAGAGGTTTTAAACAGTTTTCTTAAATCTTATTTATCTATTTATTAGCCCTTTCAACTTTTACATGATTCATAGTGCTACCTATCTATCGAATTAGCATTTAGTCGGTTACAGAGAATGGTTACTGGATTATTTCAGCGGTTCGAATAAAACAATCATTTACGACTGACAGAAATTGGTGCGAATTATCGTGTTGGAAATCTGGTCCACTAGCGATATGCCATTTCACATAATAGCCGAAAGGTCATTGCATTACGGTAGGACATTTCAAAGTTTTGGGCCATTTGTGGTAGTGAGCCTGAATCGACTGACGGGAAGATGAGCGTGTTTGCTCAGAAAGTGTGTGCGACAGGAATGTATTTTCGGGATCAAGTGACCGAAATTGTGATCACTTATGTACACGATCTATGTTTGCATAGCGATCGAGTGGTCTATCAAACGTGACCACTTTACCTAAATTGACAACTGTTAACCCGAACAATTCTGCGCCACACAACAAATCGCGTATTCAGGTGCGTGTTAAACGTGGACATTTCCGTTGAGGGAATATTATGTAGATAACATGCCATTCAGCATCAACACAGTGATGTATACCATAGTTTCGTGAATATCATCGGAGTACCGTGTTTCTATGCTTTATGCTGGTACCACAAAATCGCCAATGGATTTAACCGTTTGTGAAGACCACTGAACTCCAAATTGTTTGTCACTGGGTCAACCCTCTACTATCGTGTCGATACCTTATCCCCTTGTGAGTTAACGATGGGTGGTGCTATAGGCTAAAATATTTTAAACAATATTACAACAACATTACACGTGAACAATGAGAAGCGATTGTTGCAAAACAGGTTTGATGAGTAAGCTGGATGAGGAAACGACCTATACTCATCGGTTATGCACTCATCGTGTTTGGAGGAGTGATGAACTCAGATACCAACTGGTTTATACAATACGATTTCACTGAATAAAAACTTCACCACAATCTAAACTACTGCTAGCAAATCTTTGTCACATAATCCAATCACGTGATGCTCGTATGTAACATATAGTAGAACTTTTAACAACATAAGGCTCTCTTCATCGATCGAAATTTGTTTGCCAATGGATGATCGCACACCCCAGAACTCAGCATTCTACCGTTACAACCCTAGTGATTAAAAGTGCATTTACTGGGTGGGTGATAAATATGAGTTACTATTACGGCCAAAACAATTCTCGGTTGCCTAGTGCTCAGTGGTTCACCCACTCGATGTGATTCACCGTCGCGTTTAATAATGGTTGTACAACAGCGGAATTGACGAACACAGTTGAACGGGAATGACCTACCATCCGTTAGTTACAAATGCCAGTATTTTTTCAGATGAGAGGCGGACTGAAATCACAAGATAGGGTTTGGTTGAATTGATAGTCGCTTTAGAAAGAACTTGAGATAAACTTGAACTTCAGCTAAACTTCTCCAAGAGTGAAAGTATTGGGATTTCCACAAAGACAAATACCCTGGATTTTCTTCGAAAATGTGGTGCTCACACAATATGCTACATGAAATGTCATTAACCCTCTCCTGCTTTTCCACCATTTAGAGGCAACCAAACTACCCAGATTAATTCAATTTTGGTTTACTGTACGATTCACTGTCTTATATTGAAACCAAAATGACTTCTGAAAATGAATTTACTGATGCAAAATAACCTAGTAAGTATCTCACTGTGGGTGCAAAATAATATTAACCCTACACCAAGAGCATGATAAAAATATCCGGGTGATTGCATAACACTATAAACTTTATTATTGGTAACAAAAGTAACGCCCAGGTATACTTTCATTCAGGTTGGGTTTTACCTGAACCTAGAAATTGTTCCGTTCATGAAGAATGGCTGACTTCAATTCTTGAACGGTGTGGAAGGCCCTTTCATGCGTATAAACTCATCTCATCCGAGTTATGGGCTGTTCAGTCGATCATCCCAATGGCCCGATGACGCAACTGCATTCTAGTCAGATGAGCTCTGTGCATAGATGCATTATTCTATTGGAAATTTATGGCTACCAATCAATATTCTGCTATCGCAAGGGGAAGAAACTCATTCAAGATTTTGACATAAGATCGAGCAGTCTGATTTCGTTCGAGAATAACTGAGAATTTCCAACGGTGAAATTGACGCCCGAATATATGATCAATCCACACCGTAGACCTGCCGACTGAAGGTTAACATGCCAGTAGTACGCGAGTCCACCAGGAACATCCAAGTGAAGTAACTTCTCATTGCCGACTATTAAGCTGATTCGTTAAGAAGTTCAGTTGATGTACCTTCTTAGCCTCACAAGTCGATGAACTATATAAGGGTCTGTTGTTAAGGATACTGATTGCTTCTCTCTGAATAAACATTTCGTGCATTTTGCAACGATTGATGCACNGCACATTTACACTCAACGGTACTTGTAACTTTTACGCACCTAGTACCGGCTTTCAAGAAGCACGTAAGAGGTATCTCGTTTTTTATTGGAGATTTTTCGTCGAAATTGGTGTTTATTCCTCGAATTATGGCCCTCATGAATCGGTCAAGGAGTTACAAACGACCCGCGGTGATTGATGGGCTTTTTCAACAACCCTGTAAGTGGTGATGCCCTAGCCCTTGTAATCGTGTGCTTTTCCTTGTTGTAGCTCCGAGAACCTTGAACTACGCGACACTGATCTGTTTCTATAAACGATACATCACATTGTTGATCGTCGTTCACATACGATGTGCGACGTCAGTTTTGTACATCAATGTGCAACGGCATGAACTGACATATCTGAAACATGATTGACGTATACAACTTATGTCACCGGTTGCGGAGCACACTCTAATGACAACACACTGTTTGAGGCTAATATCATTTCACATCCTTAGGGGCAAATTCTGTAGGATAAATCAGTTTAATAAGGTCAGAATCAAGATCGGCTTGATTTCTCGAGACGGTAATCAGTTGAACCATCACTATACATCTCTGTGGTTTGGTCACTGAGACGGTGGGATAAAACAGGGTGGGGAGGTCGGTCACCAGGGAAAAGAGACACGGTACACTACACGATAAAACCAGGCAAACTGATGATTGACAAGTTCCTGTTTGAGCCTGGTGCGATTTGTTGTCTTTAAAACTCGACCCAGATTATCAGTTTGAGATCTCAGTTCAGATGCACCACCGATCTGCACCAACAGGGTAAAAAATTATCCCCATTGGTCGAGGATTTCTACATTAGTGTTCTGATCCTGATTGGTCACAGAGGTACATGGACACATGGTGGACAACAAAACTAAGGCGAAGCAGTGCTGCAATGCATACGCTCGAATGATTCACATGTATCCTTGTGTGCAATTCAATTGAATACCTGATGATTCAGGGCATTCCAACACAGACGGTAAATGGCTAGTTCGTTTCCGGTGCTGCATCAACAGAGTAGCAACGGTGTAGGTGGTCAAAGTGGGGTCGAATGCATTGCAACGCTGTTGAGAAGCATAAGAACAACATCAATACTTGGCTACTGTGTTTTTTTACGTCCTCGGTGTGATGGTATCAAGCTGACAGTTATAATTTATTTTTGTAGCAATCGCTCTGTCAAACCGTGGACCACGTGTGCTTCACCTGGTAAATTAGTTTTTCCAACAATTTTTTCTGAGCGTATCAAGGGAAGGGGGTGTTGCTAAAATAGAACGTCTCAAGCAAGGGATAGAAGGTAATGTTTAACCAGCTATCTTAGTCTTCCGTTGATAATGTGTAAACGGAAAAGAATAATTTGTGCACAGTGTTCATATGGCCAGATCCGATAAAGTGAGATGCACTCAACCTAAGTTCATTCGTTCCTGGTCTCTCATGTAGCGAGCTGTTTTGTTGTGATCGAGTAAACATTCACTGATTCATCTTAAGTAGCTTGCCTAAAATGAGCAAAGGAATCATTTCAAACTCAAACAAGGTCGTGATCACGGTGGTCTGTCCTTTCTCTTCCCAACTGTGGTGAACATGTGAAAAAGAATCCGGACTCGGTTACGCTACAAGTGTTTCTGGTACTTTTATGTAGGTTTTCTACAACCATGCTTCAAACATGAGCAAGACCCGAAAGGTAGATGTGCTTCTTATTCACTGTTTGGCAACTGCTCTTGAGATCAGTTGTTCTCATGTTTATCATAATAAATGGTTCAAGGTACCCACCATCAGAGAAAATCCGTTTAATTCATAACAGTTTATGGCGTATATTATCTGTTTTCTGTTAAAGTGCACCAACAGAACGTTTTCTGAACAAAATTGAAACAGAATGAATCCTTCTACTAAACTATCTCATTATTATATAGTGGTCTTTTGCAGAAATTTATTTCCATTTTCTGTGTTTGATAGCAGTATAAAAACGTGGTCCTATTGCCTGTTGTTGTGACTGCAACTCCTTACAGCCATCCTAAGTACCCAAGGTTTTTCAAACGCCTTCTTCAGGTGTTGTTATGAGGTCGGCTAACGTAATGAAATTAATTGGATTCGAGAAACAACGCACATGTCATCAAATCACATGACTTGACATTCGATCTTAGCACACCTCTTATACTATCTTCTACTTACTTCTGTATTACATCACTTACGATAATCCCGTCATCACAAGTCATGTGACACATCAATCTTTTGTGACTTGATCCAACTGGCACTTTTTTCTCGATCAACTCTCATTCCACCACCGATTCGATTCGCGAATTGCATTGAGAAAAGAAAGATAATTGCAGCGTATGTGACTTGAGCAATTTTGTAATTCAATGTTTGTCTAAGTATGGTCCACAAATGTACGTCGGATTGTTTCGGCCTTTCTGTTTGTCGGTTTGAATCAGTTCAACGCAGATCAGCTGTTTGCTAAAAAGCCTCTGACTATTTCCAGTTCCCCTGCGGAAATCCTATGGTATCTACTTTCGACTAGCAGACAAAAACGAACGTTATTGCTATCATAATTTTAATATAGATGAATTATTCGTACAAATGAAAATGTTCAACCCCACAATTCCGACAGGGAATTGGTTTTTTCACTTCTGGTTTCCACAGTTTCTTCTTTGTTCGTCAGCGAACATAGATGAGCAACCAGACTCCGCACCTCCTCCATCATGTGCAGTTCGTGGCATGCAGTGTGTTCATCTATTTGTCCCCGATGAAGAAATTGGTTCACCTATTGTCAACCATACCTATTTCGCTTTACACGAGCCACTTTTCTAAAACTAGCAGACTCTGACACATCCCCCATTAACATGGCCCAAAAATGAACCGCGATTTTTGAAGAACAAAAACAAGCCAATGCTATGCATGGATCTCAGTGGTTCTCCAGTCATATGGTTGGACCAGTACGGCGAGTTACGCAGTTTGAGTGACGAGGTGGTTGTCGCAGTGAATCAAAGGACACAAACCAGTTTGGCTGAACAAAAACACGGAGAACGGTAGTCGTAGCTCATCTGTTAGACACGGGATATTAGGTTGCCTACGACATACAGCAAGTGCCTCTGAGTGATGGAAAAGGTAACAGTTGGGTTTTTGAACCCAACGCAATCGGCGTAGAAATAGGGATCAAACCTCTCCAGGTGCTCTGATTTCGAGGTGATCTGAATAGTAATCTGACAGTGACCTCTGTTATGGAATCATTACATCAGACATTGCGTCTTATCTTGTCACGATAGGATCAACAGAACTCTACAGACATTAATTCCGAGTCCTCCCTCACCCGATCCCCGGCCTGTATGGTACACACGTTCGTCTTTTATTGTTTTGTGAATTAATTTACGCAACTTCATTTAAATTTACTGATCAATTGACATTCTAAAATATCTTGTAAGCAAACCTGCATTGTGAGTGTAAGTGCCTTAAGGCGAGTTACGAAATGAGCTTGTTCGCAATGGATGGGTTTTCAGATTAGGAGATGAGAATCAGTTTCACTTTCATTTTGTACAACCATTAACGATTCATTTTCGTGCGTCGTTTTTTAGCGTCCCATTTCGATGAGTAGTAAGAGAAAGAAAGGAATGCTGAAAGTAGAATCAAAGAGAAAATTGAAAATTTCAGTTAACTAATGTTGCAAGGAAATTGAGAAGATGCACGCACGCCACTGTTTAATACTCCCAGCCGTATCACTCTGTCTCTAACCGTCTATTAGGATTGTCCCGAGGACCCCTTCCAGGGAGCCTAACAGAACCTATGACTCAGACTCCTGGTTAGGGTTTTCAGACCCTCATGCCAGGTCTTAGTCCGTGAAAAACCATCGAGTTCGAGCAGCAATTATTGAATAGTTGCATTTAAAATCAGCCAGATGTGCTTCGGCTTCTCTCTGTGTGACATTTGATTTGTTGCTATTTTGACCATCCCTAATTGTTTTCTGATTAAATAAACCAAAACGGGTATCAGCATTCCCATCTTTTTGCTGGATCTTCAGGGTTTTACAAAGGAATACATTTATTTGAAGTCGTGCTTCATAACATACCTTCACTACTGTACAGGCACATTACAATGGGAAATAGGGAAACATTCCATTAGTTGTAATACTCTGATAACAATGTTGGCCTCTACATAACAATTTGGCTTGCAGTTTGCATTGAGCCTTGCTGCAGAGAAAGGTCTCCCACAATATACCTTTCCTTGACCTGTGCAAGGAGTTGAAATTCTGAAATCTTGAAATTACAGCAAACCTCTGTAAGATTGTTAGCATGTGAGGGCTAAGGGCAATTCATTCGATTTAATCATCCAACCTGGATATTTCATGTTTAGGGGACAGCATTGAAGAGCTCGCTAAGTTACAAATCCAAGATTCAGTGAGCTGGCAAGAGAAGCTTATGCTCTATGGTGCAGTCGTATAATCATTCACATCTGAGCATTCCAGCCAACTTATCAATCCATCTTAACATTATTCTCTTTCTTACCTGAACGATCGAGGTCAACTGCCACAGAGTTCATTCGTTTGCGTCTAAAGCTCACTCGATCAACGGTCAGTGGCATAACTTTTCCCGCGTATGTTTATCGAGGAGGGGGAGGGGGACAGTCAAACCCCACCTCACCGAAATCCTTAANAAAGTATTTTTATTTGCCATTACATTCCGAATGTGCTGGAGCTGTGATAGACAAAGTGGAATAACTTTGGTATGAACGACGAAGTGCCAGTCAATTTGTGGGATTTTCGTTAGAACTCGATTGATGGATTCACTTGAAATTAAAACACTCATTAGCGGGTTTTTCTAAGCATTTTGCCACACTTTGGTTCATTTGCCTATGATGAAAATCTTTCGAAATCGGTATGAAATTATTCGCTGCTTTCTCTAGCACCGAGTACTGCAACTGATCGACTAATTATAGGAATGTTTTGAAGTTAATTTCATACAGTGTTAAAAAAAATATTTTGATGTCATTTTTCACTCATATTTGTACTTCAGGTAAAAATTCCTTCTAGTGAATCATTGAAGTGCTAGTTAGGTTTGATGATTCATTTATTCTTATGACGCCGACCTGGACGAAAAACTGAATACTTTGAGACCCTTTTCGTTGTCTATGCCATTCCCATTTATTTTATGGTAAAGGTGATAACAGGTCGGTTTCATTTTACTGTATATCTCTGCACCTATATGCAATATGCGATTCAATTGACCTAATTGAAATAGTTTATGAAAAATGTCTGCTTAAGATCCACACAACTTCCTCAATGAACTTTATCTATGCACATGTTTTGATCATCCTTCAAATTCAATAGTTTTGTAAAAACCCAATGGACAATCAAAAGTAGGTAAGAATCGTACACCATTTGCTAGACAGGAGCGGAAAATGAAGTAACTCACTTTCAGTTGTTATATACATTGTTTTGCAAAACGCACGCATCTGACTGGCCGCTTCTTTACGAAATTCAACACCAATACGTCCAACTGAAAAGGGATAAGATGACGAAATAGAAAAATTACGAACGACTCCGGTTGCTTGCTAGTGAAATAGGAGGGCTAGGAAGAAATTGAAAAAATCCCAGGTGACTCAGTAAGCCCTCGAGTAACGGGACTTACACTGCCAATTTTTCTGATGCTCTGTCAGGCTAGTGTTGTTCTCCAATTGTTGATATTCTTTTGCCGTGTTCTGCATCAGTGTCTGCAGCTTCTTTCGAAATTGGACTACTTGTGCATCCTTGGCCTGTTCCATAGATTGTGGTGCTACCTTCTGATCTGTAAGGGAGAGCAATTTTTGACAACCATCAGTCACCCTGTGAATTTGAATGATTTGAAATGAATATTATATGAATCCGAGGACATACAGTGCGAGCACAATTACATGGAATCTGTTCGGAATAAGTATGACATAATCACTTCATTTAAAAAGGTTGTTGGTAAAGAAATCGTGACAATAATAGATGTGATTCGTACTTTGTCGGTCAGTAAGTCGATTAACCGATCTTTCTAATTATGAAATGGGACAATAGGTCAGCGAGTAGGATAAGATCATTTCAGCTTTTCGACGGCCTTTCAGCGTACGGATCATTGGCTTATTTATTTAATACTCTTTATGGAGTCACAGAATGTATGAACGAATGTTAACAATTTCATCATGAGAACCGGCCATGCAATCACAGGGAATTTTCTTACAAAACTACATAAGATCTCAATAGAATCAGTGTGGTATTGATAAAGTGGTCTGCCACCACGATTGAGTACTGGTGGTGCCGGGTTTCGAAATTCGGACCCTGCGTTCCGAAGCGCGTCCATAGCGTCAAGTAACTCCGATCAACTGATCAATCGCAATCCCAAACCCCCAACGCAATACTAATAAAAGATCAAGGTAGTTTGTCTCTTCGCCAAACCTCCGCGTTGGCAAAAAGCATTTTTATTGTACCTTCTCTCCCAGTTTAGGGATGCCCCATAAAGGTGTTAAAAATTTTATGGTATGAACACACCTTGGTGTTGGTTCTTCTCTCCTCTGTTAAGTTAGGTTCCGATGTTTTGAAAACGGAGAACTGGATAACAAGTGTTGGTTGTTCCTATTACCCCCACCCGCCCCAATACTGGAACATAAAAAGCAGTGTGCTCCGTTAATCGAAAAATTTAACAGATAGATCAGACACATACCATTCACTACAAATTCCCGATTGTCCGATGAGATCGAGCCATGTCGTTGCAAAACAGTGGCCAGTTCTTCCTCGGCCATATTTTGAATATCTTCCAGTGTTTGGCATGAGTTGTGGAAAGACAAACAGTATCAAAGAGGGTATATCATGAGTGCAATGATATTGTTGGGTGCAATCAATCCGACAACTCATCGTGCAGTTTCTGAAAAGATTAGTCTAACGAGGAGCAAAAATCAATGAGGAAAACTTGGGTTGGGCCATTGGGGGGGGGGTAGACTTTGCATGTGTATGAGAGAAAGGAAAGCAACGAATAGTGTAGCAACTATCGAGCATTAAAATCAACCGGATGTTGGCAATTAAGCAACTACAACATTGATCCCCCCAACATAGTGTTGGCTGACTGCATGTCTTGCATCGCTGAGGAGTACTAATTTGCCAGTATGCGTGCTAAGTGTGACTATTTTTCTATGCTATTATTGCGCTTTGTTTCAACTGTTGGATGGGATTAAAATCATAACTTTATCAAATCACTATTAATGGGAAAACAAATTAGTTATAGACTAACCAGCAGAAAATTGTGACTGAGATAAACGTATCTAGTCAATTTCCCCCTTCACATTAGCGATGGCCAAACACATGTTGTGTGTTAAGTGGCTGATAAATATGTAGAATGTAACAGCTGGAATGTTTTTGTGGTAATTACGGATGGAATCGGACAGTGGCCAGTGGAAAGCAGGCCAGCTAGGGAAGGTAAATCCATAACCGTCCTAATTCGATCAGTAATCAACAACGCCTTTTTCCAATGTGTTCAAGTAGCTGGAAGGATCCGAAGATATAGGTCTAATTGGAGACTGAATAGCCGCTAAAACCGATCCTCACAACTACCGCTCCCAATACTACTTCTGACCGGTGAAGGAATGAGACAGTAAAAATAACCCACATTTGTAGTCGTACAGATCATCAGACTTGTGATAAAATTCCAAGGAGTCAAACTCATTTCTATGTACACGTTGCACGGGAGTGAAAAACGAACTGATTATTTATTTGGGTTCCTCAAAATAGAACACATAACGAGCCAGTAAATGTCATCGATCGCAGTCAGTGCGGGCAGAAGTTTCAACAATACAGCAGCTGGAGTTTCAGGTTAATTTCATGCTGATGTCAAAAGTTTGAAGAGAATTCTAAATATTAGGTGTTACTCAGACTGATGACAACCTGAGTTCAATCCACTTATAAGGTCAGTCATGTGATCCCAACCAAGCTACTAAATATGTGACCAACGAACCCACGGGGGAATGTTGCAAAAATTAACTATTTTACTACAATCAAAGCAAATTGCTGTCAACCAGCAATGCAATCTTTCTTATACACTCGTGAACAGCAAACAATTACTGGAACGAAACTCACGTTTGTACTTGTCCCCGAATATATTTTTAGCAACCGCGGTACTACCGAATTCACGAAATTTGTTCATTACCGTGTCGTAGAACCAGTTACATTTCATCGCCCGATAACCCCTACAGAGAAAGGAGAAGATGATGATTGTGCAATGAAAATGAGACTCATCAATTCTATAAAAGCTCAAG